GAGGAGAAGAGAAGACTGTGGACATGAACATTTAATGTGATTTCCGTGGAAAGATCAGGCAAGGCAGGGCAAGCAGGGTTAAGACTGGATGGTTTGGATGATTTCAGCGGCTTTGATACACAGGGTAGGTGCCTAGTCCGGTGCCTGGAGTCAGTAGAGCAGGCAGATCTTGGCCCAACATCTGAGCGCCCAGTAAAGAACATAGCTGGAGTGTGATTCTAAATTGATTGAATTACATCTGAAAGACATGTTCAGCGGGCAAGTTGCTTACTATCTCTAGGAACTGGTGAGCCTGGGAGTACCAGTCCTTCCACAAATAAAAAGCCCCTAATATCAGAGTACAGGAACATACAAATACAGGACATACAAAATACAGGCACTGCCATCCTTCCATGTGAATTTTATTAACCTGCACTGTTTCCTTTCTTTGTCCTAGTGACCTTTCAAGACAGTTTCCCTCTCCCCATTTTACAAATGCAAGGTTGTACAGAGGCAAAATGGGCCCAATGATTTCCCATAGTCATACAAAGTAGTAGGCAACTTACTGTCCTTCTTCAACTCTAAGGACAATTGTGTTTTCCATCTTACACTATTATGGCCACTCTGCTTACAGTTCCCAGGAGCTTTTACCATCAAACCTGTGGTGCAAAGTCTTGGGAACCATGAATTGACCTTTGGTGGCTGTCTTCAGATGCCAAGGCTATTAGCCATGCAAAAAAGACTGGAGCCTCTGGAACCTGTGCCAGAAATTCTACAGCCTCAAAGACTTTAAATAGGTACCTCTTAATAATCTTGAACATAACTGATATTCTTTTTTTTTTTTGCCATTGGTTGGCTGCTGAATCAGCAGTTGCATTCAGACACCTAACTTTCATTGCTTCCCTAACATTAGATTTTCCTTTCATCATTAATAATTACAAATCAGTGATCTTACAAATTAGCAGTCTTTCAAATAAGATTATTTTTCTTCCCACCCTCAACTCCCACAAGTATCAAATATTCACAGGGTGAGGCAAAGTAAACAGTTGAAGGTCCCTGAATGACCCTTGCATAACACACAAGGAGATGCACGGGTCTGACTGTATACATGCTTTCTTTACCCACCGTTTCCAGGGGACACAGAGACTTTCCAACTAGAAAAACATGCTAAGATGAATGCTGTGCTTAACAGCCCAAGCCATTGCCTTTCTAAGATTAATCAGTATTGCTATTTATAAGGTTCAACTAAGAAGTGTCACAAACATAGAAAAGAGGCAAGGCAGGATGACAAATGGAAGGACTTTTGGGTGCCTCTGGATACAACATTTCACAATGTTATGAAATTTTAATTTCTTTAAGGAAGGGCCATCATGCCTCAATGAGTAGCAGAAATGGAAGAGCTGAATTATATATGTTAGACTATTAGAATCTCAGTTGTGTCCTGAAAAGTGATGCCAGTTCTCTATAGTATCTTGTTGTATGATTGCTAGAACTACTTTCTGTCTTTCTTAATTTCATGAATAACCTTAATAAAACAAAGGGACCATTGTAATTTTGGGCTCTGTCAACATAGTTCCCTGTTAAAATCTCCAACCTCACCTCCTCCCACTCCATCTCTAGACACATCTACTCTGGCCTCAAATTGCACACAGTGTTCCCTTCTGACTCATTTGTATTTCTATTAATTCTTCATAGTGCAACTCACTTACTTCAGGAGGCCTTCTCTGAACCACAGAACTATAATGCATGTTGATAGGTATTAGGCAGGCTTCAACTAGAAGAGCAGAAGCAGATATATATGGTGTATATACACACACACCTGCACATAGACATATATACATATGAGCACATATAAATACTAGAGGCCCGGTGCACAAAAATTTGTGCACTGGGGGGGGGGGGTTCTCAACCCT